GAAGATGCCGTTGAAGAGGCCAGAACTGACTTCTTCGGTTGGTTCATCGCCCGCGCGTAGTTAGCGGCCACGTTCGACAGGTAGGCGCCCTGGCCGGTCCACAGAAGGCCGGCCCCCACCCCGCTCGTCACCGCCGCCGGAATGAGGGTCCACCTGGTGCATCCACATCCACATCAACGTCATCATCGTCGTCGTCGTCAGCGTCACGAGCAACAAACATTCAGCCCAAGCTCGAAGTGGAGGGAAGTGGCGCGTGCACTGTACGCGGTTGGGTTGAGGTTGGCGGCGATGAAGAGGGAGTAGGTGGATGCACCGGCGACGAGCGCCCACTTGGGTGTCAGGAGTTCAGTTGCCGATGAACTGGTTGACGTCCCATGTGCACACGGGTCAGAGAGTGCTGAGTGTTGCGGGGAGGGTGGCAAAGTTTGTTAGGTACCTGATGAAGAGGGAAGAGAAGCAGAAGGCCACGTAGAGGAGGGCCAGCGTCACGGTGCCGAGCTTGCCCGGAATGAGACTGCTCACAAGGTTCTGCGTGGTGCTGCACAAAAAAAAATGAGAAAAGAAGAATCAAGTTTTGATTCTCATTCTCAAATTAATAAAATGAGAATAATAATTCGAAATAATAAGAAATAATATACCTGAATGCGACGAAGATGAGGAAGAAACCGAGACAGATTACGATTAAATCGCGGATCGGTTTCTTGGCATCAAGCCCACTCGCGGAGCTGGGGTGCACGAGCAGCGGCGTCGCCTCTCCCACACTCCCCTTCATCTTTCCTCCCACCAGTGGAGGAGACTACCCGCGCTTCTGTTCAGTTCGTTTGTTTGTTCGCAGCCCAGGCGCGAGCCGCACAAAACAAACAACAGAAGAAGAGAGAAAGAGAGGAGAGGGGCGAAAGTGAAGAGAACGAACGCGAAGGGGAGACCACGGAGAAGGAAGGGGAACACCGAAACTGCGGAGCGCACGCGCAAGAGGGTGCAACTTCCAACTTTCGCCTTTCCCCGTTCTCTTCGGGAAGAAGTCCGCTACTGGGTTGTCGACAAGGTCCGTGTTATGGTAACATGTCCACTGTCAGTGTTTTGGCGTGAACAGAAGCACCCAACCGAGTTGGCCAATGTTGGTTGCCACTCAAGGCAAGTTCATAAACAACCGCCTGCCCAAGGTGCAACTGCAGTGTGGCCATGCACCTCCCGCCCACCATCACCAAAGAGGAGGGCGGAAGAACCTTCAACCAAACCAATGATCAGAAGTGCTGGCCTCACTTTTTGTGGCTTGCACCTGCTGGATGGCAAGGAAGCACACCCAATCCATCAGGGGGGGTAGTACACACAGGGGTGGGTATCATCAGAAGTGTTGCCACTGTGTGGGGTCAGCTGTCTTTGTTGCTGGTGATCACCTCTGGTTGCCACTTGTACTCTTTTGTGGTAGCCTTAAGGGCTTCCACCTTGTCATTAGTGGACTGGGCTGTGGAGGTCCAGGTACTTTACCAGAAGACCCAGCAACTTGAGGTTGAAGTGGGTCTTGCCCACGCCACTTGTAGACCAAGAGTGTTTTTATTGTGGATCCACCAAGCCTGCTGAGGGTGTTCATGCAGCGCTGGTGGAGAGAAGGCGATTGCGCTGGATGCACTTGCGGAGCCAGTCGGCGGTGACGATGAGCAGGCGGGGGTTGATCTCCCTGGCCACGCGGAGTGCTTCGTCCTCAGCCGCAGCCAACAGCGTAGACGTCAGGACGTGCGTGGTCGTACTGTTGAACCTACCAGAAACGCGCCCGCCACATCTGTGTGCGTGTCGTGCTGTGTGAGCACCAGGGGGCATGGGGCTCGAAGTGGCGGGCGGTACCGCTTGATGGTCGCGCGGAGGGCATCGTGCTGCTCGGCTCCCACCAGGTGCAAATAGAATCGGAGCCCCGCGAGGAACTTGGCGGGTGCGGAGCCGTTGCTGCCTCCAGCCGCGCTTCCGTCAGCGTCCTCCTCCACCAACATGCGGTCGACAGCCACTCCTCGCTCGTCTTCTTCCATCGCAATCATGCGCCGCTTCTTGTTGGGTCGCGCCACGCCCTCGGTCGGCTCTGTGTTGCGTGTGGTGGGCGATCGCCCTAT